TGTCTGAAAGTATGAGGAGCCTGGAGATGTAGCTCAGCGGTGGAGTGTTTACCTCACGTGTGCGAGACTCTGGGTTCGGTCCCCAGTACAAGGGGCAGGCACGAGCAGAAATAATGAAGTGAGGTGTCAATCATTCCTAAGTATCTACGGTGAATTGTTCACATTTCACATAGATGAATTATGTACTTCCATCCGTCTGCTGGGCAGGAGGGAATGAAGGATGAGTCACTGCAAAAATAAGAATGAAATTCCCAAAAGGCTAAAATATAAGATAAAAATGAAAAAGGCTACTCCTCCACACTGTTTTCCTCTTTCTTTGCCCAATGGGACTGGAGCTTCTGAAGTTTGAAATGTATGAGAGCAGAGTCAGGGGTCTCAAGTTCACTCCGGAGCTTGGGACATGGACGGGCAAGGAACCAGCCCTGAGTGCAGCCTTGCCCAGCAGTTCTCTGAATTTAAATGGCGTTCCCTGTAGACAGACAGCCACAGGAAAATGTCACCAAAGGGTGCTCAGACCTCTCTTGAAGCTGTCAAACAGCCCAGGTGAGGACAGCCCCATCTTCAGCTACAGACAGCCAGACTCCCCAGAAAACACAGGCCTAGGAGCTGATGGTGACCCAGCCAGTGGCCTTTCCAGTAGAGGAGACCAGAGAAAGGGACATGGCACCCAAGATGGAGAGTCAGTGACCATCCTCATCAGGTGGTACTTTCTACATGTGCTAACCATCTTCACGGAGCCAATTTAGGTAAGAGGGCTTCTTGATAAAATGCCGTGTTTACAGATGTCTGTGTGCACATGGCTGAATGTCAGAAACCGGCATCGTGTAACCCAGGCTGGCCTCTAATTCTCTATGTAACTGAGGATGACCTTGAACTTCTGATCCTCCTGCCTCCACCTCCTGAATGCTAGGATTACAAGTGTATACCGCCACATCCAGTTTATGCAGTACTGGGGATTGAACCCAGGGCCTTGTACATGCTAGGCAAGCACTCTGCCAACTGAGCTACATCCCTAGTCCTCACTTCCATTATTGTGTGTCCTGGCTGAACTCTGGAATTTGCAGGGCTTCTTTTTGAATGAGGGCATTGAATCATTCAACTGACATCTATCACATGTGCTCTCCTGCCTGGTTTTGTACAAGAGAAACATAAACTGAATAAAGCCTTAAGCAGGTCACAGGATGGTGAATGAAGTTAGCTGGCCTGTGTTTCTCACAGAGTGGTTCCTAACCACCTCTCTTAGAAATAAGAGCCTCGCCCAGACCTACTGAGACAGTCTGCACCTTTAACCAGCTCTATGGGTAACTCTGCAGAAGGGTTCTCTGGTGAGCCTGTGGCTCATGCAGTAATCATAAAGAAATATAAACAGCCATATGCATGAGATCATTCATGCTCTTTCTTTCTTTCTTTTTTTTTTTTTTTTTTTTAGTTTTTCGAGACAGGGTTTCTCTGTGTAGCTTTGCGCCTTTCCTGGAACTCACTCGGTAGCCCAGGCTGGCCTCGAACTCACAGAGATCCACCTGGCTCTGCCTCTCAAGTGCTGGGATTAAAGGCGTGCGCCACCACCGCCCGGCTTCATGTTCTTTATTTCTCAATTGAGTTTATTTAGTCAGTTCTGGGAGTGGGGGTGTACCACACCTTTAAGGAATTGGTTCCTCTTACCCCATATGGGTTCCAGGGATCAAACACAGGTCGTCAGGCTTGGCAGCAAGCTCTGTTAGCCATCTCACCAACCCCAGCCATGCCCTTCAAGGAATGATTTTTAACAATCATAAAAGCTCTTTTGGGGACCCAGTGTTGGGGGAAATAACTCAGGAGTAAGCATCTCACAGCCTCCAATTTCCCAAAGACAGAGATGGGTCCTACTGTCCTGGGTCAGGTCAGCAAAGAGTCTCAATTAAAGAGGAAAGTGGCCCATCATGGTGGTGCATGCCAGAGGCAGGCAGATCTCCGAGTTCAAGGCCAGGCTGGTCTAGACAGTGCGTTCTAGGACAGCCAAGGCTACACAGAGAAACCCTGTCTCGAGAAACGAAATAAATGAATAAAATAAAGAGGAAAGTGACCATTTAGCCTTCCTGTGGAGGAGACAGGAAGGAGCGCTTGTGTGAGGGGAGCAGGCCCGAGCAGTCCTGGTGCCTGCTCTGCAGACCCTGGGCTGTGTTCCCTGATTGTTGTTTCACACTGCTGCTCGGCCTTCTCCCAGCTCCCAGGGAGGCTGTTCTCACAGCACACCTTACATGCAGCTTGTGGTTCTTTTATAGAGAGAACAAACCTTTTTACCTCTTTTTACCACACGGCCAAAGGCTATGTTCTCTTTCCCCTTTTCCTGTCCTCCCCTCCCCTCCCTACTTCAAGTCTCCCTCCTCCTGCCAGCTGGTAGGCACGGAGCCCATAGACAGACCACAGGCCAGTGCTGCACCTTGAGCAGGTCTGTCCCCTGGGGGAGATCCCACTGTGAGGCTAGAGGATGTGGGTTCACGTGGTTCACGGTGGGTGTTTCCTCCCAGAGATAACCTTAGCTTAGAGGGAGATGCCGACCCAGGGCTCACTAAAGGGCTTTGCCGAGGCCAGAGCATCCAAGCATCTGCCTTCCTTGGGGGAGCTCTTCATATCTGAGCTGGAGCCCCAGAAGATAAGACTGTGTGCTGGGTCTGTGTTCAAGTCCAGAGATGTGATGGAAAGAAAAGTAGAGAGGAAACAAAAATTAAGATGATTGCCATTGTAGAAAAATCTGTGTGCCAAAAATACTTCCAAGTTAGGTAGGTAGGTAGGTAGGTGTGTGTGTGTGTGTGTGTGTGTGTGTGTGTGTGTGTGTGTGTGTGTGTGTGTAATTAAAATCAAAACCTCCAGGGCAGCAGAAGATAGGAAAAGGGCCTTCCAATTAATAGTAACCAAGGCTCTTGTGTGTGGATGCTTGGCCTTGAGTTGTAAGGGAATTTCATTTTCATGAGGCTTAAGTCAGAATCTGATGATGGGCATTCTGCTGCTGTCACGTGAGCTGGAGCTTTGAGGCCTCTTGAGACAAGAGTCTGGGAGGCTTGGGGAGCTACCACAGGCTTCCATTTCCTCAGCAGCAAAAATGAGGAAAGTGCCCCCTTCGGTTCCCCTGATGGCTTAATCTGTTATATGCTTCACTTTCTTTTGCAGAAGGAATTTCCAGAAAATCTCCAGGTCATTAAATGAATATATACAGCATATATATTCATGTGTATTTTTGTCTCTATATAAACCTGAGGTTATGTATTTGGGACCTATGCATACAAGTACATTTTATACCAGTGTCTTATAATAAGTCATTTTTATAGTGCAGTAAACAAGTCCTAGACCCTTCTAATCTCAGAATGAGCCCACAAAGCTGAGTCCTTTTCTATCTGGAATACTCTTTGAGCAAGACTTTTTTTCAGAAATAAGAAACATGCACCCCAATTCTCTCTAGGAACCTACAGCATGCTGCCCTCATTCTTCACATCTACTTCTAGTGCGTTCAGCTTTTATTTTGATAGGATGGATGGGTTGTAAAAAATAATCATAATCAATATTTTTCATGGCTCAAGATATAGTTATTAAGAATAGGGAGCTAGGGGTCAAGAAGATGGCTCAGTCACTTGCTGTGTAAGCACGAGGATCAAAGTTTGATCCCCAGATCCCACATTTAAAAAAAATAAATAGCCAGGCACAGTGGTACATTCATGGTACATCCCAGCATTGAGGAAGTAGAGACAAGGTTCTTGGCATAATCTGGCAGACACACACACTTTTGAATGCAGAGAGATGCAGGTTTAGGTTCTGGCTCCGATTCTCCATGCTGCCACATGACCTTAGACTCCACCTTGTAGCCATGCTGGCTTGATTTCTCTTACACCATTGAGTAGCCTCTGGTTGGTATGTAGCTCTCTGTGCCCAGTCGCCTCACTAAAGCCTAGATTTTCTTACCATAAAGATGTAGATAAAGTTAATTTCAGTAAATGGTTGGCCAGATAGTACTCAACATTGTGAGCATACTTAATGCCACTGAATTGTATACATAAGATTATTTATGGGATAACATTTGACTCTGATTTCAGTATACATACAAAGAGAAGCATTGCTGTGCCTGACCATTACCTCCTAATGCCTAAAGGTACCAGCCACATCTTCAACCGTTTATGAACCAAGGACAGTCAAACCAAACTGACCTAGAGTCACATAGAATGTTAACCCAAGAGATCTCACAGGTCCTTCGTTTTGCTGCCACCCCAAACTGTGTGCTCCATCCTAACCAGCCTGGGACCACTATCCTTATACCTGCCTGGTTTTCCCCAAAGTACCTTTCCAGCTTCCTAGGTGGTTTGGGCACCAAGGGGATGTGGCAGTGGTGAATTAAGATCTGCCTCTGGTGTCTGAAATCTGCACGGTGGTGTCCAGCGCTCTTCCTGAGGCAGAGCCCTGCTTGGGCATCGAGTTAACTGGGCAAGCACCTTCTTGAAACAACCTTGTTTTCTCTTCGACTCCCTACTGCCATGTGGTTGACATAGAACTCAGCTACGGAAATGTCAATCCTGAGTTGTTTTTGTTCTCACCCAAGCAAAATTGGACTTTTTAGAACTAACAACCATCTTCCCTTACTTTCAGAACCATTTCTGAGCTTGAGGTTCTGGCCAAATATGTCACCACTCATTCTTTTGACTTTGATAATCGATTACTTTGAGTGGGATTATTGATATTTCTGGAACCTTCCGAGTGGCTCACGGTGAATTTTAAAGACTGCGGTCTGGAAAAGGAGTTCGTCTCAGACTTTTCTGATTTAAAATGTATATAGAATGTCACCACTAACAGCTTTTGCTTTCCAGTGGAAGGGGAAGGGAGGCAGCCGATGGAAAGGCCTCCCTGCCCTGGGTGTGGCTTGTCAACCAAAAGCAATAGGCACCCGAAGAGCCACGCAGTCCTGCAGTAAGTAGTGTGGCAGAAAGAGCCCCCTGTGGCTGTACATCACATGTGACTTGGTTTTCTTTTCGTTACAGCAAGCAGACGAGACCCTGGATTTTGAAGAACAGATCTTAGAAGCTGCTAAGTCCATTGCTGCTGCCACAAGTGCCCTGGTCAAATCAGCCTCAGCAGCCCAAAGGGAGCTGGTGGCCCAAGGCAAGGTGGGTAAACATGGCTGGCCACGCCATAGAGCATTGTGGAGGGAGAGCCACTGAGCGGTAGAGGAGAAATGCTTGGCTAGGAGATGCATGTTGGGATCCTGTCGCTGGGTTACAAGTCTTTTGCCCGCCACTGAAAACTGTGCTTAAATTCCACCAGCTGAGTGAAGGCTTTGGCTCCTAGGCCTCTCATCTGCTTCTTGTTAGGGAAACCATCCCACTCTAGGCAGTGATCAGGGCCTGAAAGAGACACTTATAGTCCCACTGTACATTAGGCTGTCTAAACTGTCAGCATTTCCTGGTGAACAGCCTGGTAAGTGCCATAGGCAGGGGCTCTCTAATCCCACCTCCAAACTCCAGATGCCTTCACTTGGTTTTATGACCATCAAGTGAATGCTGGTCAGCTTAACCATTAGTGCCTTGCTGAGCCTGTGGCTCCCAAAGCCAGTCTAGACTTGAATCTGAGATTCCCTCAGTCCATGTCATTGCCGTTAATCCAGCCCACCTGTCCTGGCATAAAAGCATCACGGCTTTTCAACATTTAAAGTATGTCGTGTGTCCTGATGTTCCCATACATGGGGCTAGCCTATCCAGAATGGGTCTTGCTGAGAGCCTCTCAAATACAGAGGCTCTCTAGAAGCCTGTTGAGTTGGAGGTCTGAGGATGATGCAGTCACCTGTGTGCATGTTATGAGGCCTTTGGTGTGTGTATGTACAGAGTTGGGTCGAGTGCTAGAGAAGAGATGAAGAGCCCTGCCTAACCAGGGCTGTTAATCTTCTCCCAGGGAATTGTGTGCGTTTTACTCTAAAGTACACACTTGCTCTTCTTTCTAAACCATCATGTGGTGCGTCACCCAAGATCCTTGGAGATACATCTTCCCACCCAAGGATGCAGGCTGACCACTGGGCTTCTCACTGACTCTCCAGAGGTCCTGCCTCTCGCTCATCTTGCCGTGCATTTTCATAAAGTTCTTGTTGACTTGACAACCTACAGAGACACAGATAGATCATTGCTGTATTCAGCTCCCTCCAACCATAGTAAAAGGTAGACTGATTGCGAAACAGATTGCCATGTGCCAGAAAGGCTGTCTTGAATGTCATAGGTTTCCTGTCCTCCACAGCACTGGTTCGTTCAGGCATTTAGAAAGTTGGGAAAGGAAGTTCAGCTGATCTTGGGGGGCCTATAGAATTATATGAGGGTCTTGGGGTTTTGCCGGACTCTCAGGAGGTATCTATAATTGTTAATGGATCCCCAATCTTGTTTTCAAATTGAGGTACTCATCTCTTATCTCCTGCAGTGATGCTTTGTAGATCTGGACAGAAAATCTCTCATTTGCTGTGATTTCTAAGCAGAAACGGAGAGGATTCTTCCCTCCAGCCCCTTGTTCTCTCCACCACTGAGAAAATGTAGTTAAGACAAGAGTCTGCCCTCATTTGCATAGAAGGAGATATCCCACCCTTTTTACATAGCCTCTGCCAGAATCTCACACCATGGCTTTCAGGGTGTGAGCAGGAGAGATTTAAATTGCCCTTGACCCTTGAAGAAGGAAGCTTCAGTGTTAATAACAAAGGAAAGGTAACAGAGCAAGTCAGCATCAAAGATAGCCCCAAACCATCATGCCCTAGAAATGTGCTATCCTGCAGCCAAGGGGGAGCAATGTCCTTTGTATATATGAGGCCAGTCAATACTGGCAAGCATAGACTGACCCAATGGATCTGTGGCTGGGATCCCGTGAGAGGAGTGATTGGTCCATTCCAAGGTCAGTGCTAATTGGTGAAGGTGACCAGACAGTGCAGTATGTCCAGTTGCAGGGCACAGGAGGGTCTGGGGTGGCTGCAGGTCACCTTACTCATGCACACTTCCCTCCCCTGTTCAACAGGTGGGCTCCATCCCTGCCAACGCTGCTGATGATGGACAGTGGTCACAGGGGCTGATCTCTGCTGTGAGTCCCCTTCTCCTTCCTCTTCATTTGCTTTGTGGATTCCCCCCAGGGAGGTTTGGGCCTTGGGTCACTTCTCTGTTGACTGTCCTCAGGCCCGGATGGTGGCGGCAGCAACCAGCAGTCTCTGTGAGGCAGCCAATGCCTCTGTTCAGGGACATGCCAGCGAGGAAAAGCTCATCTCATCTGCTAAGCAGGTCGCAGCTTCGACCGCTCAGCTGCTGGTGGCCTGCAAGGTGAAGGCCGACCAGGATTCAGAGGCCATGAAGCGGCTACAGGTAATGGTCACTGATGCTGGTGGGAAAATACTCCTGTTGGAGCGGGTAAGTGTCGCCAAAGGGGACCGTCTCACTTCCTTGGCATGACCCACCAGGCTTTCCATCAGCCAGTTCTGTCTCTCTCCAGCCTCATCTTCTGTCATCTGCATCGTGCATCCCACAACCACTGCCCACCACATCCACACAGCACCTGGGCCCTCTGCACTGGTGCCCGTGGGCCATCACTCACTTGGAATGGTCTGGCTTCTCACCAGCCCAATCCAGCAAACTCCTGTTCATCTTCTGTAACTGACCTCAGAGTCACCTCTTGGGAAACTCTTCCAGAGTCCCTCTTCTGTCCTGCCAGAGCCTCTGGCCTGGCCACTCTTACGGCTCCTGTCCCATGGCACCTCTGCCTTTATTTTTCTGTGTCAAAGCTGTGAGCATCTCAGGTACCCCATCTTCATCACGGCACCTGATTCAGTGGAGGCCCTCAGGTAGTGTTTGCTCGAGCAGGGAGAGAATGCCCAGAGGAGATTTAAGAAAGTTGTTACGGTTTCCTTCGCAGAACCTAGAGAGTATGTTTATAACAATCAAGTTCTTCAACGTGCGTACACATTGTTCTGATTGTTTTAATTATAAAATTCTTTGAGGTCTATAAAGACGGCTCAGTGGGTAAAGATGCTTGCTGTCAAGCCTGATGACCTAAGTTCGATCCCCAGAATCTACATGGTGGGAGGCGAGAACTGACTCCCACAAGTTGTCTTCAGACCTCAGGCTTACACACACACACACACACAAACACACACACACACACACACACACACACACACACACACACACACACATCACATAGATATGGAACTTAAAAACTGTTTTAAACACAATGAAGGGAACATTTGAATAGGAAAAAAAAACTGCATTGCCTCAGTGCCCCCACATGCCACATGTTTGTTCTCTGTCCCCCTTGTCATCTACGATTGTCTGGTTGTGGTCATAGCAAGACACATCTGCTTCCTTGTTGCATACATGCCATCATGCACATTTTTCCTTGAGGTGGAGACTCCATTCTTCATGAGTCTCATTTTTCAGTGATTGCATGGTTTTGCATCAGCTGATTATGCCAGTTCCCCCCCCCCATGCTTCAGACATTGTATTTGTTTCCAGCTTTTGAGAATTTTACTATGATAAGTGTTATTATATAGATCATTTGTATTGCTTAAAGTGTCTGAGATGTACACCATGAATAAAATCAGAAGGGCAGAGAGTCCAGATGCTTCTTACAGACTCAGAGGTCTCCTATGACTTTTAAGCATGAGTTCAGCCTTGGGTTCAATCCCTGATACCACATGAAACAGGGTTGGTCATGTAAGCCTGTGAGAACAGTATGTGGGAGGTGGAAGCTAGAAGATCAGGGGTTCAAAGTCATGGCTATCCCTTAGACCTAAACTCTTGCCTCTGAGAGAGATGGGCAAGGAATGTAGGAGATTTAATGAAGCTTTCATCACCACTAAAAGATAATTCCAGACCGCAGCTGGCAGAGGACAGTTCCCCAGGGTCCTGCTCCCTGAGGATTGAGAGTAAACTAGGAGATGGAGGAAATGGTTCTGTGGGTAAAGCGCTTGCATGTCCAAGCGTGAGGATCTGAATTCCATTGCAGCACCCACAAAAAAGCCAGACACAGTGGCATGTGCCTGTAACCCCGGTGTGAAGGAGGCAGAAACAGGAAGATCCCTGAGGCTCACTGGCCAGCCAGCTTCTGACCTCCATATGCATGCACACGTGTGTACTCAAGCACATGAAAGTGTAAACCAGAATGGACAGGAGTCAGTAATAAAAAGAGACTTCTGTTGACAGACACCCTAGATGTGTCTCCAGCAGTCACTGCATCCGTGTTCATAAAGCATAAGCCTAGCTGGGACTTAAAGTATATCCATAAAGTCCGTGACTCACAAGACTCAACCCCACACACGAGAGCGGATGCTCCCTGGCTTGTGCATTCACAGCCCTCCATTCCCTCAGGAAACCTCCCGTGAATCCCAACTCTGACCAGCCTCTGTAGCCGGTTCTGAGGGTTCAAATGGTTTAAGTAGGCCCCTCCCCTCAAGTTGTTGCTGCCCAGAATAGAGTTGCCCCAAGGATGGTAAAGGCCGTAACAAAGTCAGCACAGAACACCCAAGGGTGTTGATAAGGGAACGTGAGCAGTGCCACGGCATGTAGGAAATCATGAAATCTGGGGCCAAGACTTCACACCCATGTGAAGTTAGGGCCACAGGGCAGTGGTTTTCCAGACTAAGGAGGCAGCCCCGAGTGTACTTCTATGACAAGCATAAGCTGCTTGTTCGATCGTCCTTCCCCATCAAAAGCAAGGGCTCCGGCCAGGGAAACAGCTCAGTCAGTAGTGCGTTCCCTTTGTAAGTGTGAGGCCCTGAACTTGATCCCCTTAGCCCACCTAAGAAAGCTGAGTGTGGTAGCGTATGTTTGTAATTCCAACGCTGGAAAGGCAGAAACAAAAGCATCCCTGGGGCTCACCGACAAGCCGGTCTAACCTAATTGGTGAGCTTCCAACCACTAAGGGACCCTGTCTCAAAGGAAGTAGGTGGCATTCCTGAAATTATTCTCTGGCTTCAATATCCACACACGTGCAACCCACATAAACACACACAAGTATTTAAAAAAAAAAAAAAGCATGTGATTTTTGGGAGCCAGGAACTGTATTTCAATTCATCGCTGAAAGATCTGTAGTCAGGTAGGCGTCAGGGTTGGAGGGGTTGATGTGTAGACAGAACAATGGGTACTCTCTGGCTCCAGAAAATGTGTGTGTTATAACGTGATCTCATGAACTTCATGTCTGTTCTTGCCAGACCCATGTGCTATTGCTAATGATGCCACATGTGTCTTGTTCCTTCTCTAGGCAGCAGGAAATGCTGTGAAAAGAGCCTCAGACAATCTTGTCCGTGCAGCCCAGAAGGCAGCCTTCGGCAAAGCTGATGATGATGATGTTGTTGTGAAAACCAAGTTTGTGGGAGGCATTGCTCAGGTGAGTGGCTAAACACACAGTAACGTGCACCTGCCAGGACGAGGGTTAGATTATAACAGATGCCCAACAAAACAGTGCCTTAAACAGGATGCAAGTTCACCTCTTCTGTATATAACTGGATAGAAGCCCTTTAGGAAAGGTGTGATGTTTCTGCCATGTTTGAGACCCAGACTGCACATTATCCACCCTCCCTGGATGTTGCCCCTGGTAACTGGGTGGCTTAGTTACCAACTTCAGTGTCCCATCTGTCAGGAAGAGGGAGAGGAGCAAGCGCTGGAATTCACAAACCTCACTTCCTCTCCCATACGGTTGGTCAGCATAGTCACAGGAGGATGGGAAATGTGGGCTTCTTTTCTGGGTAGTCAGGTGTCTAGCTGAAATTCAAGTGTTCTATTATAGAGAAAGAAAGGAACAGACTAGCCTAGAGTACGGCAGGATGTCTTTGGGACTGCTGCCCTGGCAAGCCCTCCACAGGCAGAATGGACCCTGCTTCCTCCCGGAACTGTTAGGAGAAGACTGGCGATTCCTTCGGCAGGACTGTGGTCTCGTGTGGAAGTAAACAGGAAAAGCGAGGAAGCCAGGCCTGCAGGCTTTGGATGTGTTAGATATATCTGCTACATGGGGCTGTTGTTCTTAGCAGCACCAAGGCATTCCTCATACCTGTCTGGACTCTCCATACCACACCCAGTTTTGGCTGTACACCATGTTGTTGTGCCAGAAAGTGTTTTTCATTCACTTATTCCTTTAGAAGTCTCACATAAAAGGGTCCCTGATCAATTAAATCTGGGAAATACTACTGTGCCCAGTACCCCCACCTTGATCAATAAACTTGTTGGCATAGTGAACATTCTGGAAGGGTCCACTGAAGGGAACTTGTTTGGCTTTCTTAAACACAAACTTACTCTAGTCCCATTGTACCAGTTAACTAGTACTCCTCAGACTTGGACCTTAGGAGCATTAAATGAATACATTCTGTTCTCTGTATCTATCCACAACTTTCACATCCTTGGATTCAACCAACAATGGCTTGAAAATATGTGCTAAAAACTGCCACTGTATGGAACATAGACAAGCTGTGTTCCTAGTCATTCTTTAAACAACACAGTTTAGCAACTCTGTGCATGGCGTTCACATTACATTCAGTCTTAGAAATCACCTGGAGATTATTTAAAATGTTCATGGGGGAGCTAAGGAGATGGTTCAGTGGGTAAAGTCCTTGCCATGCATGCATGAAGACCCGTTTGCTCCCCTAAATCCCATGTTAGAAAAAAACATAGGTGTGGTGTGCACATATGTGATACCAATGCTGAGGAGACAGAGACAGGCAGCCTAGTTCCAGGTAAAAGTTGAGAGACACTGTCCCCAGAATCAAGGTGGATGGCTTTCTGAGGAACAGCTGTCCAAGTTGACCTCTGGCCTCAACATACGCACACACCCATGCACATGTATACCTACACACACATGAACCTTCGTATGTATGGACACATGCATACACTCACTAAATAACAAATACAGGAGGAGATACATAGGTTATATGCAAATACTGTGCCATTTTATATCAAGGATTTAATCCTCCATGGATTCGAGGATCTAGTCAGAATCCGGGAATCCATTCCCGTCAGTACTAAAGGCCAACTCTCTATGAAGGCTGCCTAGTGGTTGAGGGCCCTAGCTTTAGCTTCCTGAGCTCTATCCTCCGACCTGAGTCATTGCAATGGCCCGCCCCTCTCAGCCTCAGACCCCTCATTGTACATACAGGACTTTCACAGGCTTGCCACAAAAGTGATGGGGCAATTTAAGTGCAGACACCAAGCCTGGTATGGATGCAGGAGATGTTTGCTGCAAAGTCCCGACCCAGAAGTCAACTTGTTTTTTTCTGATCAGCTGGGTCATTGGTCTCAAAACCACGCTGTGGTGTAGACTGGTTCTCAGAGCTAAGGATGCTGTTCCTGGCCAGTATTAGGGCTCAGCAAGTAAAGAGGCTGGTATGGAACAGGCATATGCCGCCAGGCCTGGAAACCTGAGTTCAATTCCCAGGACCCACATGTGGGGACAAAGAGAACTGACTTCTTCACATTGTCCTCTGATCTCTACATGTGTGCTACAGCACATGCACACACCCTCAACACACATCAAATAAATACATTTTTTTTTAAAAGAATGCTCTTTTGCATCCATCATTGGAGGGGCTGTGGAAGACAAAGGCCTCCCTCCACCAAGGCTTCACATCCATCCTTCTGTTTTTCCCTTCCAGATCATCGCAGCCCAGGAAGAGATGCTCAAGAAAGAGCGAGAGCTGGAGGAAGCCAGGAAGAAGCTGGCCCAGATCCGCCAGCAGCAGTATAAGTTCCTACCTACGGAGCTGAGGGAAGATGAGGGCTAATGCCTGCCCATGATGGCGAGCCCCGGGAGGTGGCGCCCCTCCCCCCCAACAAGAACTGGACAGCGCAGTGTTCCCAAGGGCCAGGTACTTCCTGGAAACTGCTGGCCCTCCACCTGGAGTTTCTTTCTCACTTCTCGGTCCTGTTACCATCGGCTGCATGATCATGATCTCACACGGTACAGTGTCCCACCCACAGCTCCTCCAGCTCCCCTCATGCCTCGCTTTATCTCAGGAGAGAGGGGCGCACATTTCATGGACTGTTACCAAAAAGAGAAAAGTCAGTATTATGTCATTCTCAGACACGCTAGTCTTTGTCCTACAAGACTGCTCCAGGGCCTCTTTGTGACATCATACTAGGAAAAGAACAACAACAACAATAATAATAATGGCTCACGGGCATCATCTGTATCGTCGACACAGCTACTCTCTCTCTAGAGAGAAGGCAGAAGCTGCCGTTGGACACTGTTAGTAAAGCCAGAAACACTCCCTGGTGGACTCTGGGGTCTAGAGTCACAGAGGTCCTTGTAAGTTTGGAGCACTGATTTGCCCACGGGGGTGAAGAACCTCTGCCCCATTTGCACGCTTTTCTTGCCTCAGTGTGTAAGCTCCTTGTACAATCTACATCCATCTTGTATTCTGTGGCCCAGAAAAATGGAAGTTATTATTTTTGTTTTCCTCCCCCAAAGGGCAGAGTTGTGGAAAGTGGTCAGGGTTAGGTGGGCAGGGGCCAGAATAAAATCCTGGGCTCCTTAACTCTGCAAGGCTGTTTCGGTTCATGCAAATGAACACACTCAAACTGTGTCCCTGATGGTCCTCAGTGCAGCGCCCCCTAGAGGAAAGAGTCAGGCGGGACTTAGGCAGGAATGAGGAGTCTCCCACCCTCAAGCCCCATTATCAGATTCTGTGCTCTTAGGAGGGTCCAAGTTCAAGACGGAAAGCTGGCTGTTTAGAACTGTCACTGGTCTTCCAGCCCAAGATGGTATTTCCTACCCTGTATCTTAATATTCCCAAAATCTGAAAGGACCTTCTAGTCAACATGGACCTCTGTGATAGCATTGCTTATTGTCACATGGGTGTTTTCACAGTACGTCATTTGGGTGCTGCACCTCCGGTCCTTCAGATTTCTTCTCCTCATGCCTTTCCTTTTCAGGGCCCTCTTCTGGAACGAACGTCATAGATCCCTGAGTTTACATTTGCTCTGAACCTCTACCTAAGATAATGGATGAAGGATGAACGGCCTGTGGCCAAGGGCCCAATACCAAGCACCAGTATATTTGAATGAATTCACAAAGGGAAAATAAGAGTTAGTAGAGCATGCTGGGGCTGTAGCTCAGCTCGGTGTGGTGGCACATGTCTCTAATCCCAGCACTGGGGAGATGAAGGCAGGAGAATCAAAAGTTCAAGATTATCCTTGGCTACAGAGTAAGCTAGAGATCAGCTTTAGCTACATGAGACCCTGTCTCCAAAAGGGGGAAAAAGATAATAGAGGCATATGGTTTTCAAGACTGAAGGCTGCTGAAGGCAGGCCTTCCCCTCATTAGTGAGATGATGCCAGAACCAGATTGTGAGTTGCACTCACCACTTAGATCCAGATTTCTACCAAAGAGGAAATACTGGTACTCTGGTCGGAAAGAAAAGAAAAGAGTCGACCTTCAACCCTGCCAGAAGAGTCTTCTGTGCTACAGTTTTAAAATAGGATTAAATTCTGACAGTTTCCCAGATGTATAGAGACGTATAAGTGCCTCACAAAGGGATTCTTCTCAGACAGGTAGAAGGCTATACAAAGTGTGGTGTGAGTGGAAAGCAAATGAAGAACACATGGAGGGAATGAGGGTGTGTAGGCATCCAGTCCAATAGAGGAGGCATGCTGCAGAGCCCTGGATGCTCACGGGAAAGCGGATGGTCTTGCTCACCATCTTTGATTCTTCATGTCTATGCTGGGTACTTTCCAAACGATTAAGTCAGACCCCAAAGTTCATGATTAAGATGGGATAATGTCCTCACGTAGTGGGACAGGAGGCCTTCCTGCAGCCAGCTCACCCTCTGTCCTGTAGGTATGCTTCCGGGCAGCTGCTCCTCATCCCTCTTACACCTGTCCCTTGTCACATTGGACTTTCCAGGGGCAGGGCAGGAACAGACAGTGAGTTCTCTGTCCTTGCCCCAGGGTTGTTAAAAAACCTTCACAGAAGTGGATATGGGAGAAAAATCCCTAACAAATGCAAAGGGCTGCCCTTTGCATCTGTAAGGAGTTTCAGGGGAATGGGAGTCTGCCCTCCTGTCTGGAGAGTGGCGCACCCCTAGGAACTTTAGGGGGAGGTGGTTCCCAGACATCACCTGCCATGGTCCCATGTCTCACCTGTCCCTTGCTTGCCCATGCTGCATCCGTGTGTGCCAATGTCCTTGTGGCTGGCCGGGCCTCTCCTCGTTTCATAAAATGGATGAAATACTGAACTATGGACATTACTTAATAAATGCTGCTGGTGGTGTCCCCAGAGGCACTGAGGGACTTGTGACTCCTAACGGAGAAAGAATGCAGATGCAGTGAGTTGCATCTTGGAGTAGTTTCAAGGCAAAAGTGGCCCAAGGCCTGGAGCATGAAATATATCCCTCTGTGAGAGGGGAACTAGGTATGCAGATGGGTGCTCTCCTACCTCTATCCCGGAAGGGAAGGGAAGCTGATGTTGGGTTTGGAATCCTTAGACCAGTCTTTCTGTCTAGAATTTCCATTTTTGATGATCAAAGGGGAGATGTGCCTGGTGGCTGGGAAATTGCATCTAGCTCGTTTCTGCCTTTCAGAAGTCTTTGGATCAGGATGCAATAGCCATGTTCGGTCAGACAGCCCTGGGCAACGCTTCCATTGGCCAGTTGGGGGTGGTCTTGGAAGTCATCATAAACAGATACTTCAGACCTGGCCAGTCTGCCAGTTGTCACTGTGGTTTTCAGAGGCAGCTGCCCAGGCTTCCATCTGTGCCCAGCCTTTCAGGGCTAAGCCACCGGCAGATCTGCTGGCATATACTCTTAATCCAGAAAAGCCCCTAAGCTTCTCGTCAGACTCATCTGCTTGTCTTCTGCATACTCTGCCAGCTGGTGAGAGTGCGGCCAACTGAAACCAACCCCTGGTTTGTTGAAAACAGCATAACCAGGTGTGGTGGCATACATTTTTTACATTTTACAGTCCCAGCACTTGGGAGGTGGAGGCAGGAGGATCACAAGTTTAAGGTCAGCCTGGGCTGGGTAGCCAGATCCTGTCTCAGAAAACCAAAGGCTAGTGGGTGTAGCTTAGTGTTAGAATGCTTGCCTAGTAAGTGCAAGGCCCTGGGTTTGTTCCCAGCAACACACGAAGTATAGCCAAAATATACCGCCTCCTAAAAGAATGTATTTAATCCCCCCTCCTCAGTGACTCCAGAACCAAAACCTTATGAAGGAACCAGGGCAGAGGTGGTAAGACATGCTCTCTGTTCCCCCTCTTTCCTCACTGGCAAGTGGTCCCCAAAATCACCCTGAGCTCTGGGCTATAGCAGCACCTCTGGGCCTTACGGCTGAAGATCCCAGCACAGATTATCTGTGTGCTCTGCTCAAACCCCCTGTGACTGAGGGACAGATACTTGTAAGAGATTCAGGAAATGCAAGGAACAGGAAGGAAACATCCACTTTCAGGCTGAGAGGCCATAGTTCCCAGAGTCCTGAAAGCCAGAGGTCTTGGGGGCTGTGCTGGTGGCTCAGGTCTTACCGCTCCGCCCATAGGGTCAGCAGCCTCTGCTAGAGAAAGCATCCTCTGCAAATCCCCGACACTACTGTTCCATTGCTCTGACATGTGCTTGGTGTGTTGAGGTTGGTCATTGGGAATGAGCATGAAGACAGACCTTCTGTTAGTCTGCAAAGACCATGAAGAGCTAATGTTTTTCTGTGGACCAGGCTAGGTTCTATCTGGTCTTCCCTGGAACCCAGCTCCCTGCCTACCAGGGAGCAACAGCATGCAACCCCCTCTGCAGCCATGTCCACCAGAAGACAGGAAAGAGAAGCTCTGCCCTTGTCATAATGTTTAATCACATAAATTAATTTATCTAATCACATAAATTATTTTTTTTATTCATCAGAAATAAACTTTTAAAGGAATGAACTTGTGTGAAGGTTTCATGGCAACGGGAGGGAGACAAAAAAGAAGGAAGAGAGTGACTTGGTCATGGGGGAGAAAGTCTGCCCTGAGCCAGCCATCTCCATAGTAACCAAGTGTGTGTGTGCGTGCATGCAAGAGTGTGTATGTGTGTGTGTGTGTGTGTGCGCGCGCGCCCACACGCAAGCATGTGTATGGAAGTGAGAGATAAGACCAGTAGTCAATCAGAAAGCCACAGGGTGCCACCCAATTCTGTTCAGCTTTGCTGACACCAGAAGATAGACTGGGTAAGAAGATGTCCATTTCTTCTTCACTTTGAAACAAGCAGGCTTCCTGCACAGGTAGCTCAGCCTTCTGACCTTGTACGTCACTGGAAGATTGGACTCCTAAATACCAAAGTGTGCATATGAAACACTTGACCTGGAGACCCACCACAGGAAGATTAGGTTCATTTGTGACAGCTGAGGCCAAAAATGTCACCTCCAGCCTTCCTTCCTGTCTGAGGGGGTAGATCCTTGGCCAGGAGTCCTTATCAGGGCAACCAGATTTAGAAAAATTTGAAGCATTTCTAATCTGCAAGATGGGGTTGTCAGAGAATCACCCTAGCAACCAAAAGTGACGTTGGGATGTCCACCAACTATTAAGAGAACTCTTTAACTCACTTTCTAAGCCAATTGGTAATAAGGTTTCATATCTCTGACTTAATAAGAACGACAATGGGGTTAGGGCTGACCACCACCCAAACAAAAGTGAGAAGCCTGAGGGCAGACCAGGAAGTGGGGTGAGAGGCTGCCATCTGCTGGGTCTCCTGAGTGCCAGCCCTGTGCTGCCAGACACATACCTCAGTGCTCAGCAGTCTAGGAAAGGCATATGGCCATTCCTCAAAGGGATAGCCTGAGACTCAGGGAGGCAGGAGGTAGCTGGGTGAGGTTGACTGGTAACTATCAAAACTCAACATCCTCTGTGCACAGAATCAACTCAGGTCAAGAAGCCAACAAGGACCTTACCTGCAAACCCCAGCACCTACTGTGCCCAGGACATTAGAGCCCAACTCATAGTCCCAGAGATGGCCACAATTCGGAACACTGGACCCAGAGAAATGGGACTAATAGGGTACTGCTCTGAAGGTGGGAAAGGCTTCCCAGAGGATGGCGTTTGCCTGATTCCTGTGTACTAGAGTTTCACAGGCTTCCCAGAGGATGGCGTTTGCCTGATTCCTCTGCACTGGAGTTTCACAGGAGTGAAGGGTGATGTTTCAAGCAGTGGGGTTGTAAGTGCAATGGCCTGGATTTAATGAGACAATGGCTTAGGGGAACGAGGAACAATCCAGTGAGTCTTGGAGAGGTACAGAGAGGAGGAGGACAAGACCACACATCGTATTGAAGTCTCAGAGCTCTCCAAGGTGGGGATACAGTAGAGGGAGAGAACTACGGCCAATGAGGACAGGGAAGCAGATGTTAGGTAGCTAACACTCTAGTACCCCCACTTGTTCCCTCATAGTAAGATGCGCAGGTAGTCTTACCCCATTTTGTAGATGTAAGGCCAAAGCAGAGAGGTTGAGTAACTATCCCATGTACATAGCTAATAGAGCTGGGATCTCCCAGCTACTCTGTTAAGGTCACCCAACTAACAAAGGACAAAGTTCCATGTTGGTCTTTCCAAACTCATGGCATGTGTGTTTGTTTACAGACCTTTTAAATGTTTAATTCTTTGATAATTTCCTACAGTATACATTTTCAAAGATTTATTTATGGTTTTATTTCTATGTATGTAAATTTTTTGCCTGTGGGTGGGTATGTATGCCACATGCATGCCTGGTCCCTGTAGAGGTCAGAAGATGCCGTTGGATCCCCAGGAACTGAAGTTACAGATGATTGTGAATCACTGTTTTGGTGTTGGGAACCAAACCTCAGTCCTCTGGAAGAGCAGCCAATGCTCTCAACCACAGGCCTCTCCCCAGTCCTTTTACGGTATGTTTTTTATCACGTTTCCCATACCCCAACTCCTCTCAGATCCTCTCCCATTCCTACACACCCAGCTTCACATTCTTTTTTCTCTTAAAAAGAGAAGACACTATCAAATGTGGAATTTGTTTTGTGCTGAACAGCAGCTCCTGAGCATGGGACCTGTGCTGGAGCGTGGTTGATGTATTCAGTGTCAGTCCACTGAAGAAAACTGATTTCCTCCCAGCTCTAATCATTGGGAAATAGCTTCTTGGCGAGAGTTGGGACTTGATGCTCACATCTCCTCCCTCATGCTGGCATTTTGTCTGGCTTGAGCTCGTGCTGGTCTTATGCGTTGGTATAGTCTCTGTGAGTTCATGTGTGCATCTGCCCTTGTTTGTCTAGAACATCACCCACCACTTCTGGTTCTTACAGTTGTCCCAACCCACTTCTTCATAGATCCCTGAGCCTTGAGAGGAAGGATGTGATAGACATCTCATTCAGGGCTGAGCACTCCATCTCACTCTCTATACATTGCCCAGTTACAGGTCTCTGTGTTTATTACCATCTACTGTCAAAAGAAGATTGTCCAGTGAGAGTTCAGTGATACACTGATGTAAGGGTAGAGTAGTATGTCTTTAGGAGTTGTGTTATTGCTGTCTTCATTTTGTAGAATAGTAGTAGGTTTTCCCACGGGCCCATGATCTATCTATCTAGTTTCAGGTTCTTGGCCTCATCAATAGTATCAAGTATGAGTTCCATCTCATGGAGTGGACCTTCAATCCAATCAAAAAGTGGTTGGTTTCTCCCCTAACACTTTTACCACTAGTGTGCCGGTGTGCTGTCTTGCAGGCAGGTCATTACTATAGCTCATAGGGTCCATAACTGGGTGAGATTGACGACGGCTGTTCTCCAGGAGTGTGTGTAGAACATCTAGCTCTGTGAATGCTAGCCAGGAGGGGTGAAGCCTCCCAGTGAGTGCTGAATAGATTTCTCCGTGTTCTACGCCTTGAGTATGTGGTGTCTCCAGCAGTAGAGTCTGACTGCCACGTTGTAGAGAGTACCCACAGCATGGACAGTAGCCTGGAGTGTTTAGGGTATGTGTCTGTGGGACCCCTTTGACCAACCACACAAAAAGATGTAGCCTACTCCTGGTACTAGGGGTTTTATTTGGTAGCATAGGATGTCTAATTTGGGTATTGTCTCCCCCATTATATGGTAACTCCATTTAAATTCTTTGAATATTCTAAATTTCCTTTAGAAAGCCTCTACAGTAGTAGGTTTTCATATCAGACTTAAAAAATGTGTGTGTGTGTGTGTGTGTGTGTGTGTGTGTGTGTGTGTGTGTGTGTATGCGCGCGCGTGCGCGTGCACGCACACCACGTGCCATGTGTATTAAAGGTTTGTGTATGACACACGCATATGTGGAGATCAGAGAACAAACGTGAATGTTGGGTCTTGCCTTCCACCCCGTTTGAGACTAGGTTTCTTGTTCTATGCTGTATACACCAGGCTAGCAGGGCCATGCAAAGCTCTTGTTTTAACTGTCAGTCCGTGGAGATCCCCTGTGAGGGCCTGACCTGAAGGACAGAAATCATTCAGGCAGAGGTAGGAGAAGGACTGTGGAGGGGATCATACATACATGGGGCAGAGCCTGGCTCATGCTAGAGACCACTGAGCAATGAGGGATGCAGGGGTTGGGAGGAGGGGAGAGCACAGGACCACAGGACCACAGGACCGTTCCATTCCATTCCATAGGTTTGTGGCAGGGAAGGGGTGTCCAGAAGTCACTGACTAAGCACCTTCGTCTGCTGCTCAGCCATTGATGGATTCCCACTGGGTGCTTCCACAGTCCTACTTTGGAATCCTTTTTTTCAGACCATAGCTCTTTTAAAAGTTTTGTATTTGCTAGGCGGTGGTGGTATGTGCCTTTAATCCCAGTACTTAGGAGGCAGAGGCAGGTGGATCTCTGTGAGTTCAAGGCCAGCCTGGTCTACAGAGATCCAGGACAGTCAGGACTGTTACACAGAGAAACCCTGTCTCAAAATAACAACAACAAAAGTTTTATATTTGTATGTATGTGTGCATGTCTTTGTGGGTTTAAATGCACCACAGAGGCCAGAGGGCACTGGATTCCCTAGAAGTGTATTTACAGGTAGTTGGAAGTTGTGTGCTAGGAACCCATGGAACCTCTGGATATATTTACCTCTGAACATAGTTACCAGTGTGCCACGGTAAGTATATGACTGAGAGACATTCACCTGGGTATTTTCATTTGAACATCCTTCACCCTGAACACACAGAATTGCTTACCCTGAGTCCCCCAGAGTAAGAAAGCTTCTGGCCTTGTGCCCAGGGATAGACTGGGGCTGAGGACAGGATGGCCTGTCCAGGGACAGTACCTAAGAAGGTCAGTTCAAGGCCCAAATCCTTGCGGCTATAGTCCGAGGTCCCTGTCAATTACACTTTCAGGAACTCGACAGCTTGGAAAATGAAGTTTGATGAGTTCTCTTCAGCTCAGAACTCAATGCTGCAGGAACATTCCCAGGTTCATCAGAAACTGTGTTCCACAGGCATTTGGGCTTGAGGGACCCAGGCTATAAAGAGACCTGCATTCCCAGCACCCTAACATTATTGTGGTTAACAGAGAATCAGGAAGGGAAGAGCCGGGGCTGGCGTCTCCTCAGCTCCCAGGGCTCTGTAGAAAACATTCTTCCTTCCAAAGACCTTACACAGGTTCTGGAGAAGTCAGCCCCTCTTCCACAGTGGACCAAGGCTAGAAGGACCCAGAGTTCAGGAAGGGGCAGGAGCTCAGGCTGAGCCGGGCATGGGCTGGAGCTGACCTTCAAAGGCAGCCAGGGAAGCAGTTAGCTGCTAGCAGCAGTGAAGGATGTTTTGGGCTGCAGGGTGGGGAGGGGAGTGAGGGACAGAGGACCATGAAAGGCTGAAACTGCAAAGTTTAGTAACAGAGATCACCTGCCAGCACTACAACTGGGAATCCAGAGCTTCATCCCAAAGGGAAGAAGAGACACAGCCTCACACCACTGCCGCTCTGTCTC